ACTGTATCTATCTATGTATGTATGTATATACGTATGTATGCATGTATGAATGTATGTATGTATGCATGCATGTATGTATGTATGCATGCATGTATGTGTGTATGTATGTACGTATGTACGTATGTATGTATGTATGTATGTATGTGTGTATGTATTTATGCATGAATGTATGTGTACATATATACAGATAGTGTCGGAGTGTTGGCCCCCCGGTCGCGCCCAGGACACAATGACAAAGGCGGCCACCCCGTGGGTAACCCAATTTAGTCCCCGAGGCCCGGGACCTGTTTTCGGCCCGTTTCGGGCCGGTCTCACCCCCAGGAACGCTCCAGGGCCGCTCCAGATGGCCTCAAGACGCTCAAGATAGTCCCAAGACAGCTCAAGAAGCTTCCAAGACGCCCCACGAGGCCTCCAGGAAGCTTTTCAAGAACGCCCTAAGAGCCACAAATCGTTGTTTTTGAAGTTGTTTGAAGGTTTTCCGTGTTTTCGCCTTTTCGGCTTCGCGACGCTCCAAGACAGCCCAAGATGCCCCCAAGATCGCTCGAAGACGGCCCAAGAGGCCACCAAGACAGCTCCAAGACGGCCCAAGAGGACCCCCAGACGGCCCAAGACGCCTCTAAGACGGCCCAAGAGGGCCCCAAGACGGCTCTCAGAAGATGCCCAGACGGGGGATCCGAACGTACTTTTTGGGCCTTCGGCCCCAAGAGGCCCCCAGGAGGCCCCAAGAGACCCCCAGGAGGCCCCCAAGAGGACATCGAGAGGCCTCCAAGAGCCTTCGAAACGGCCCCCAACAGGCACCAAAGCGAGCCTCAAGAGCCTTCGGAATTGCTTCCAGGAGACCTCCGAGAGACCTGCTGCGAGGTCCGAACGAATTGCCTAGATGCTCCCAAGACGGCTCTCAAACGACCCTGGATGGCTTGAAGACGGCCCTAGAGGCTGCCACGTAGTCAAGACGGCCCCAAGATGAACCCAAGAGTCTCCACGCCGCTTCCACGACGCCCCTAAGAGGCCCCCAGAGGAGTCTGATCTTCCTCCCTTTCTGACTCCTTCTCCTCCTCCTCCTCCTCTTCCTCCTCCTCCTTGTCCTTCTCGTCCATCTCCTCCCTCCTCCCTCCTCCTCCCTCCTCCTCCTCCTCCTCCTCCTCGTCCATCTCTTCCCTCCTCCCTCCTCCTCCTCGTCGACAGTTACAGAGAGCGTGTTCTGGTCCTCTTGGAATCTGTCGGGGGCGCCGGGGAGGCATATTGATGCTCCAGGGCCCTATTGGGAGGGTCTTGAGCGGTCTTGAAGCCTTCGGAGGTCTCGGGTTTCTCGCGGGGCAGTTCCGGGCGTCAGGAGGCCCATCCAGAGACCTTCGAAGTCCATCGGCAATGAAAAGGCAAGTTCTTCAAACATGTACGATGTTCAATAGTTTTTCAACAGATTTGGGGATTTATCGGGGCATGTGGGGAAGCATCCTGAGGCGCGTCTGGGTCTCCTCGTGCGGCCGTTCCGGGTGTTTTGGGGGCCATCCACAGGCCTCATCAGCCCATCGGCAATGAGCAGGCGAGTTCTTCAAACATTTGCGGATGTTATAGGTTGTGGAAGAAGTTTAAGCTCTCGGGGCCCTTTGGGAAGCAGGGAACTGGAACGGTCATGACTGACGAGTATCATCCTTAGAAGAAAGAGAGGATTTCAGAAACGAGGAGGAGGAGAGAGAAGGAGGCCCTCGCACCAGGAAGGGTGCCGCAAACTACGGACATAATAGAGATGCCGAGGATTATCCGTCAGAGGGACACCGGGAACCCACAGGGGGACGTTGCTCCAAGCGACTTTCTCGGTGCTGTGCTCAGTGCCGTGCCGTGGACTGTGCCGCGTGCCGCGCCGAGTACCGTGCCCGTGGCCGGCCCCAGGCACGCCCCGGACGCCCTTGCGGACGTCTCGGCGGCCCCTCGGACGCCCCCGGAAAAGGTCCGCTTGCCCTTCCGGGCCTCCCATGGCGCCTTGCCGGGCCTTGCGAACAGACTCAAGGCGATCAGAGGGGTCATCGGAGAGGCGCAAGAGAGACCCAAGACAGCACAAGAGCGCTCCAAGAGGAACCTCGATGGTCTGAAGACGGCCCAAGATGCCCCCAAGACGCCCCGAGAGGCCGTTAAGAGAGCCCCGAAGAAGCAAACATGGCCTCATTCCTTCCGGAAAGTGTGCATTTTTAGCACATCTTTTGTTTGGGTCTTCGCAGCGTCCAAGACGGCCCGATGGGCCCCCGATATCGCCCCAAGACGGCCCAAGAGGCCTCCCAGAGGGTTTGAAGACGGCCCAAGAGGGCCCCAAGACTGCCCCAGAGAGCGTCGAGACTGCCCACAAGAAGCCCAACATATTACCTTCAGAAGGCTCCCAAGAGAGACCCACGAAAGTCATGGGAGACCCCCAAGAAAGCCACTGGAGGCCTCCAAGAGGGCCCAAGATGGCTTCAGAAGACCTCTGGAGGGTTCAGATTTCCGCGCCGTTTATTGTCCTGGTGCTTGAATTTGCCTCTCTCAAAGTGTTGCTCTCGATTTGGCGCCTCGCGCAGTCGTGTTGAACATTGCAGCGCTTCCAGGGGTGGAGGGCGGTTTTTGTTCAAACTGTTGCTCTTGCGTTAGCGCCGGGCACGCTGGTCTGACGCACTTGGAACAGTTTCACTGGTGTAGGGTGGTTCTTTTTCGAAATGGGGCTTTCACATTCACGCCGCTCACAGTTTTTTCAAATCTCAAACATGCGGCTCTTGCTTTAGCGCCGCGTACGGTCGTTTTAAACATGTGCAACAGTTTCGAGATGGATGGGAGGGCGTTGTCACATTCGGACCCTCGTTTCAGCGCCGCGGACGTACGTGTCACAGTTTGCAACATGGATGGACGGGGGATCATTTTAAATGGTGCTGTCGCTTCAGCGACGCACACACGCAAGCGTTTTTAAACGTTTGCAGGGGTCACACAGATGGAGGGCGGTTCCTTTTCGAAATGGGGGTCCCGCCTTAGCGCCGCGAACAGCCGTCCCAACATCTTGCGACCGGTCTAAGGATAGAGCACTGGTCGTTTTCAAAGTTCGGCTCTTGTGTCAGGGCTGCACGCATGTCTTTACATGCGCCATGTGGCAGCAATGGAATGGACCTTCGTGAAGTAGGGCTGCGCGGATCCATGGCTTCTTTTTTCGTTTGATGGAGCTGTTGCTTGGCCGTTCTTCGAAGTTCATGGCGACGGCTGTACGTTTATGCCAGAGTTACACGGGCGGGGGCGTGTTTTTTTTTTTTTTTTTTTTTTTTTTTTTTTTTTTTTTTTTTTTTTTTTTTTTTTTTTTTTTTTCAAAGGGGGATATCGTTGGACAATGTTGAGCTGTATGATCAATTTCCGCGCTCCGGATTACGCGTCACATTGATGCAAGGAAATTCTTCTCGCTTCGCGTATCACCATGGATCTTGGCGGCTCCCACCAGTCGTGGCCTGGCCTTCACTAATTATCTGGCATTGCGCCCCATTGCCTTCTGACACGCCCTCTGGACTTTTCCTTGCGGGCCGCCGACCAAAAAGTATCACCATGGATTTTTCGACGCTGCTGGCGCGCTCGCCTGCGGCCGCGACGAAAAAGTATCACCACGGACCCGTTCAGACACCCTTCTCATGAGAGTGAACACACAGCGGGCAACCAGGATGGACAGATAGTTCTCTGGGAGCAAGGGGGTGGCCTTGGAGGGCCTCTTCGGACCGTCCCTGGGGCCCGCGGGTGGGCGAGGGGAGGAGGAGGAGGAGGAGGAGGAGGAGGAGGAGGAGGAGGAGGAGGAGGAGGAGGAGGAGGAGGAGGAGGAGGCACATCGCCTCTTGGAGCACTCTTGGGGCTCTTCTGAAGCGTCTTGGGGTCCTGTTGGGGCCCTGTTGGGGCGCATTGGCACCCTCTTGGGGCCATCTTGGAGCTCTCTCGAGACCCTCTTTGGAGCCCTGGAGGGGCTCGTAGGGCCAGGGGTTCTATAGTTTCCCCTTCCCCCCCCTCTGGGGCCCTCAAATTCACTTTTGGAGGCCATGTTGGGGCGCTCTCGGGGTGATGTTGAGCGCTCTTGAGGTCGTCTGGGGAGCCTCTTCGGCTCCTGTTGAGGCTCTCTTGGGCCATCTTCGGGCCGTCTTGAGGCTCCCAAAGCGCATCGGAAGTGAAAAGGCGAGACGGTAACAATCATAGATTTTCTTTGGGTGTTGAACAATGGTGGCCTCTAGGGGGGGTCTTAGGGGGGCTCTGTGAGCACTTGGAACCGTCTTCGAGCGGTATTTCGGGCCTCTTGGAGCATGTTGGAAATAATCTTCAGCCACCTTCGGCTATCTTGAGCAATCTTGGAGGCCATCTTGAAACATCAGAGGCCCTCTTGGAGCCAACATGGGCGAAACAAGGACCCTCTGACACCTCGCGGATACCCCTAACAACACCTCAGGCGATGGGAGGGGGAGGGTACCCCTCCCCGAATGGAAGAGGGTTTTGAACGAGGAAATAATTCGTTAGACCACCTATGCCCAGGGGGCGGGTGGGATTCCTTTCCAAAGTGGGCCCTCACTAAAATGTTAGGCCGACTTGTGCTGGGATTTCACAGGAACGCTTCTTGCCTCCCTCCCCCGCCTCCTTTTCCCCCTGCCTCGCCGCCGCCGCCGTCGCCGCCGTCGCCGCCGTCGTCGCCGCCGCCGTCGTCGTCGCCGCCGCCGCCGCCGCCACCGCCGCTGCCGTCGTCGTCGTCGTCGACGTCGTCGTCGTTGTCGTCGTCGTCGTCGCCGCCGTTGCCGCCGCCACCGTCGTCCTTGTCGTCTTTGTCGTCGTCTTTGTCGTCGTCTCTGTCGTCGTCTTTGTCGTCGTTTATGTCGTCGTCTTTGTCGTCGTCTTTGTCGTCGTTGTCGTCCTCGTCGTCGTCGTTTCCGCCGCCGCCGCCGTCTTTGTCGTCGTCTTTGTCGTCGTCTTTGTCGTTGTCTTTGTCGTCGTCTTTGTCTTCGTCTTTGTCGTCGTCTTTGTCGTCGTCGTCTTTGTCGTCTTTGTCGTCTTTGTCGTCATTGTCGTCTTTGTCGTCTTTGTCGTCGTCGTCGTCGTCGTCGTCGTCGTCGTCTTTATCTTTGTCGTCGTCGTCGTCTTTGTCGTCTTTTGCGTCGTCGCCGTCGTCGTCGTCGTAGTCGTCTGTCCTGCGCGCTGGAGGTGCACCGCCGGGCGGCTGGGCGGGCACCCCGCTTCTCGGGGGGCGTGGTCGGTGGCTGGCGAGCGCCGGCCCGCGAGGCCAGGGCTGGGGCGGCGGGCGCGAGGGGCGGGGGGCGGGAGGGACGGAGGGGATGGTGTGGAGGGGATGGGGAGGAGGTGATGGGGTGGAGGAGGAGGGAGGGAGGGAGGGAGGGAGGGAGGGAGGGAGGAGGAGGAGGAGGAGGAGGAAGAGGAGCAGGAGGAAGAGAAGGAGGAGGAGGGAGGAGGAGGAGGAGGCGAGGCGAGGCGAGGCGCGCGTGTCCGCCGGCCGGTGGCTGGCGGGGCCTGGGGGGCCGGCGCGGGCGGGCCGGGGCCCGTGGTAGTTAGACGTTGGAGTAGGCAATGAAGTCGTTCTCCAGCGAATGCCAAAATTCTGTCTGCTGCAAGTTCCACCCAATTTGTTGTGATATCCCCGGCAGTAGTGTAGTGTATGAATCGTGTGATGTCGTCGCTCCAGCGTTTTCTCTGTCCACCATGTCTGCGGCAAGCTTGACGTGGGTCATGGGCGTCGGGGTTCCAGGCTGCAGCGAGCCAAGTCCATCTCTGGCGGGACTGCGTTGCTATGCGTCCTGCCCACCGCCATTTCCGCTTGTGGTACAACGTCGTCCAATCTTCCAAATGAGAGCGCGTTGCCCGATCCATAGCTGCATGGGTCGCTCTGCGTATGAACTCGCCCCACGGTTCGAGGTCAGAGTCGTCGTCGGCGTCGTCGAAGTTGAGATGCCGCTGGATGTCGTTGGAGTTTGTTTGTGGTCCGTCGTCGGGCTGCTCTGTGTCGGAGCTGGTCCCGTCGTCGGTTGGTTTAGTTTGGTTGTTCACTCGTCGTCTGGGGGTGTTCACGATGAGACGTAACATGCGTCGCTGGGTGCGTCTTAGTGCTAAGAGCATGTCCTTGGTGAGCGTCCACGAGGTGCAGCCATACATGACAGTAGGCGTCACCGTACCATTGAAAAGTCTTAGCCTGCTATGGAGAGGATATCGGCTGCTTGTTAGTTCGTCGTGGAGCTTGTTGAACGCGCCCCATCCCATTGCAATTCGGTTGGAAAGCTCAGATTGGTGGTAGTCGTGGAAGGTCAGCTTCCGTCCCAAATACTTGGTGGTCTCTCCGGCTCTGAGGATTGCAATCACGTCGCCGTCGATGTCGGTATGACTCGTCGTTTGCCCGTGCCCCCTGCTGACGTTCGTAAGGATTTTGGTCTTGCCAGGGTGCAACTCAAGCCCGCACTTCGCAGCTGTGCGTTTGAGGTCACGCAGAATGCACTTGAGTTGGCGCAGATTTGTCGCGAGCAATAAGACATCATCAGCAAATCGCAGATTAGTAAGAAGCGTGAGCTTTGTGTGCCCCAGCTGTATACCGAATCCCTTTTTTTCCCAAGTTGGTTTGCACCGACGGAACACGTACTCCAGCAGGGCGTTGAAGAGGTAGGAGCTGTGTGGGTCGCCTTGTTTGACACCGCGTTCTATGCTGAAGCTCCTGCTGCTGACGTCTGTCTTCACAGTGGCCACCTGCCCGCTGTAGAACTTCCGTAGTAGGGTGATGTACGGTGTCGGCACGTTCTGCTCCCGCAAAGCTGTCCAAAGGCAATCGTGGTCCACGCAGTCGAACGCCTTTTTGAAGTCGATTGCGGCTGCCCATAAATTTAACTGCCACTCGTAGGAGTTCTCCTGCAGCATAGTTGTGGTGAAAAGGTGGTCCTCTGTGCAGAAGCCCTTGCGGAAGCCAGCTTGGTCGGGTGACTGTTGTGAGTCGAAGAGCGCCGCAAGCCGATTGCATAGCAGTCGAGACATCAATTTGTACAGCAGTGGTATGATGGCGATTGGCCTGTAGTTGCTGGGCAAATGCGGGTCGCCGGACTTGAAAATGACACTGATCGTGGTGCGCCTCCATTGCTCGGGAGGTGTTTGGTTAGGCGCGAGAATGTCGTTGAAGAGCTTGAGTAAGTGCTGCACGATCGTCTCCCCCCCTGCTTTCAAGAGCTCTGCAGTGAGGCCAGCCGTGTCCCTGCATCTGCCGTTTTTGAGGTGTTTCACTGCTTGCTTTAGTTCGTCGTTGGTGAAAGGTGGGATGGCTTGGTGGGCGGTGCCGGTCGTCTCGTCGTTTGTGGTCCTGTCGGCATTGGTGGAGCGCCGGTACAACTCCTCGTAGAAATCAGCGAAGACGTCTGCTAACCCTTTCCGGTCTGTTTCGTTTTTGCCGTCCACGGTCGTCATGGAATGGATGAGGTCCTTCTTCTTACTAGATTTGATCCCGGATATCTTGCTGAGGCCACGGAACTTCATTATGATGTCGTTGAGTGCCGCTTGTCTTTGAGTGCTCTTGATGGCCCGGTGCTGCCGTAGGATACGCTTGCTGAGAGCTGTTCTAGTGGTCGTGTCGGTGTGTGGTGTGTTTCTGCGCTGGGTCAGAAGTGTTTGTAGTAGTCGTGAGGCCTCATCGTCTCCGCGCGTTGCGAGTGGCTGTTGCTGTGGTTCGTGCTCTTGCTGTCGTTGGTGGTCTTCGTGCGCTGCTCTGAGTGCTCGTTCGGTGAGCGTGCAGGCTTCTTGCAGGTCACTTGGAGGAGGAGGAGGAGGAGGAGGAGGAGGAGGAGGGATGAGAGAGGGAGGAGGAGGAGGAGGAGGAGGAGGAGGAGGTAGGAGGAGGAGGAGGAGGAGGAGGAGGGAGGAGGAGGAGGAAGGAGGAGGAGGAGAGGAGGAGGAGGAGGAGGAGGAGAGGAGGAGGAGGAGGAGGAGGAGGAGGAGGAGGTAGGGGAGGAGGAGGGATGAGGAGGAGGAGGAGGAGGAGAGGAGGAGGAGTAGGAGGAGGAGGAGGAGGAGGAGGAGGAGGAGGAGGAAGTGAGGAGGAGGAGGAGGAGGAGGAGGAGGAGGAGGAGGAGGAGGATGAGGAGGAGGAGGAGGAGGGAGGAGGAGGCGGAGGAGGAGGAGGAGGAGACGAGAGGGAGGAGAAGGGAGGGAGGGAGGGAAGGAGGAGCAAGATGAGGTGCGTTTCCCATCTCCCCCCCCCCTCTCCCTGCAGGGCGCCTCATCTGACGCTTCCGGATTGCGCACTGCCTATCACGAGGGGCCTGGGGGCACAGAAGCTGTCCCCGGCTGCCCCCTGCTCCTTCTCCCTCCTCCTCCTCCTCCTCTTCCTCCTCCTCTCGGAGAAGAGAGATGTGCTGTTTGCCAGCGTGGGCACCAAACAGTGAGATGTTGCACTGTGTATGTGTATGCGATGTAGTGTAGTCTATGAGGTGTGATCTAAGTGGTGTGAGCTGGGAGGTGTAAGCTATGTGACGCAGACTATGTGGTGCACTCAATGTTTTCAGGGCGATGTTGCGTAAGGCAACATCTGTGGCGCAGCATTTTGGGTGTGAGCTATGTAGTGTAAGCTATGTGGTGCAACCTAAATGGTGCATGTAACTCATGTTCACTGATGAATTGTCGACTCCACTGCTCGCGCAATCATCCCACCCTCTCGCCCGCAACTTGTTTTGCAGAACCCATGCGGCCGCGATTGCGGTGACTACTCGGCACTGGCTGGCGCATTCTGCGACTGCGCTAGCGCGCAAGCTCGCGCGCAGAGCGGCCAGCTGGTTTGGCACAGCCGATGCGGCCGCGGTGGCGCTTCCTGTTGCGGATTTCCCAACGCGTCTCTGAGGTCGCGCTGGCGCGCGGGCCCTGCAGTGTGGGTCGGTGAATCGGGCGGGCGCGGTATCATGATGACGCCGACAACGGCTGCAACGGTGACGATAGTAGCGATGGTGGTGATGATGACGACGACGGCCAGGCCAATGACGGCGCCGATGCCCATGACAACGATGATGATGTCCATGTGTCGGTAATGATAGTGATAGAGTCGTGATGGTGGCAATGGCGGCGATTGACGATGGCGATGGCAACGGTGATGCGGCGGCACTGATGAGGGTGATGGTGAGGAAGCATGGGTGCGCACATGCAAGACACTTGGCATATTGTTTGTTGAACTGCATGTGGGTTTCATTTCGTGAAGGCCTTGCGGGCGGTGCCGCCGACCCAGAAGGACGACGACAACGACCACGACCACAACGACGACCATGACGACAGCAACGACAACGACGAGCTGATGACCCTGCCACAGGCTCGGGACATGGGGCGGGCGGTGGAGGGAAGGGGAGGAGGAGGGGGAGGAAATGGAGGAGGAAGAGGAGGAGGAGGAGGGGGATGGGAAGGGGAAGGGGGAGGAGAAGGAGGAGGAGGAGGAGGATGAAGAGGAGGAGGAGGAGGATGAGGAGGAGGAGGAGGAGGAAAGAGGAGGAGGAGTAGGAAAGAGGAGGTGGAGGACGAGGAGGAGGAAGACGAGGACTTCTTGGAACGCTTCATGGCGATTTGGAGCCGCCTCGGAGCGGTTCCGAGAGCTCTTGGAGGCATGTTGGAAAATACGCAGCACCCCGCAACAGAAGATAAGAGTGAGGAGGGTGGCTCCTGGGGTGGCGGTCTGAGAGGGTGGTGGTGGTGGTGGTGGTGGTGGTCCCCTTGTCCACAGGGGGGAGGCTGGGGGCGAGGTCCTGTGTTCCCACTGTCCACAAGGGGATTCCCTTGTCCCCCTTGTCCATGGGAGACCGCCCGCGGGGGAGGTCACGACCCCTGGGACTCCCCCCAGGACACCCCCTACTACCTCGGCCTCCGCACAGCAGGCCACGCGCCACCACCCCCGCCGTCCCTGTCAAAGACCACTTGACAGTGATCGCGGGATGGCCACGCACGATCCAGATTTAGCCGCGAGGTGCATGTCGTATTATTGTGTTGTTTTTTTTTGTCAGGGAGGGTAGCCCTGCGCGCAGCAGGGAATGTGCTGACACCCCCGCCGTCCTTGTCAAAAACAAATCAAAGTGCTCGCGGGCCTGACGAACATGACTCAAGACTTTGCCCCAAAGTGTATTTTGCATGGTTTTATGACAGGGATGGTGATGGGGGGCGCATCGGATTGGCGCGCATGCTCCAAATGTGAAGGCAGAGTGCGGTTTGCATTGTTCTTTGATAGGGATGGTGGGGGATGGGGGGGACGGGCCCTCATGTAGTCGGCATGGTTCCGGGTTGGCCGCCGGCCCGGTGGGGGAGGGGGTGTACATCAACAAGGAACAGTGATCAAGGCACACTCCTAGTTAGCAAGCCGTCTAGCTCACTCCCACCCGTCCTTCCAACACAAAAGTAACACCCGAGCCTCAGCATGTTCAGCGGTCGTCTTTGGACGGACAGCTACTGGGAACCAAAACCGAACCCATGTGCGCGACGCTGGGGCTAGGCGCGCCACGCGCGCCAGGCACCCATGGGGCCCGAGCGTGCCAGGCACGCCTGGTGCGCCAGATGCGCCACGTGCTCCACGTGCGCCAGGTGGGCCGCACACTCCAGCCGCGCAGGGTGCGCCACGTTCGGGGCACGTGCAGAGTGTGTCAGGTGTACCTGCGCACGTGACAGCACACATCGGGAAACATGCCCATCATTGTGTCTGGTGGGCCTGCGCACAGCAGGCCATACGCCACCACCCCCGCCGTCCTTGTCAAAAACCACTTGACAGTGATCGCGGGGTGGCCACGCATAATCCAGATTTAGCCGCGATGTGCAGTTTGTATTGTTTTTTTGACAGGGATCGTGGCTCTGCGGCACTTTGTATTGTTCTTTGATAGGGAAGGTGGCCCTGCGCACAGCCGGCAATATGCTGACACTCCGCCGTCCTCCTCACACAACAGTGCAAAGTGCTCGCATGCCTCACGAACACCTCTCAAGACTTTGTCCCAAAGTGTACTTCGATTTGTTTGTTGACAGGGATGGTGAGGAGAACCGCATCGGGTCGGCTGCGCATGCTCCGAATTCGGAGGCAGGGAACGGCGGGGTTGGAAGAGGAACCTCTCTAAACCACTCGCGCCGTGAAAGGCTGGTGGGATTACCACTCTCGAGCGCGGGCGGCGAAGTAAGCGGTGACCGCCAGAATATGTCTGCGTCCACCGTTTCGGAGTTGTGCCCCGGGAGCCTCGACACGGAAGCGTGCGCGCGTCTGCGGGTGTCAAGATGTCCAGGTCCACCGCTCCCCACGAGCCCAGGACTCCAGATGCTGTGGGCATGGTCGGGGATGTCAGCTTTCACCAGTAGTGCTCCTGGGCCCAGGATGAGCCTGGCCAGGACGGGTGTAGGTGTGCAGTCAAACCTCATCATTACGATGACCTTTCACCGAGGGTACCCTTGCATCCTTGCCTCCTCGGTCCATCCTGACCCTCTGGCCTTGCATCCTTACCGCGCGTCCCGATGATCCTGTCGCACCGGCACCGTATAACCAGACATCTGATGATGTGGTTTTCCATCCGTCGGCCCCAGAGATCTCGACTCCTTCCCAAGGGGTATTTTGTTTTTCAAAGAAACACTCAAAAAACAAGGTTTTAAGTAAACAACGAGTGTTTTGAAACAGCTAGTTTTTTTTTTTTTTTTTTTTTTTTTTTTTTTTTTTTTTTTTTTTTTTTTTTTTTTTTTTTTTTTTTTTTTTTTTTTTTTTTTTTTTTTATATATATATATATATATACATAAAAAAACAAAAAAAACATATATGAAAAAATATTATTAGTATCATTATCTAAATAATATAGATACGATAACCAAAAAGATAGTAACATAACCAGTTCTTTGACTTCCATATACGATAACCAAAAAGATAGTAAAATAACCAGTTCTTTGACTTCCAAAGCCCAGTGTGGTCCCACATCTATGTTTGATTTTCCCAGGGCCCGGCAGGCCTCCTCCCCGGAGGCCGAGGTGAGGAGTGCGCGCGCCCGAACCTGGTGCGTCCGAACTCTGGGCACTTGGCGCCCTCCCGCCCGAGCTTCGACGGTGGCGCCGCCGAGGCCCAGGGAGTGGCACCTCCGTGCGGGGCGTTCCAGAAGGAGGAGGAGGAGGAGGAGGAGGAGGAGGAGGAGGGCCCCGCCCCCGGCGCATCTCGCCTCCAGCGGAGAGGCCGGCGGAGATCCGGTGAGCGCCTCCAGCGGCGGCGGGTCCGCCGCCGGCGGGCCCGCCGGCGGAGAGGGAGAGGCGCGGCCAGTGGGCGCCCTCGAGGGCGCGGAGCTCTTCGCGCTTCGCGCTTCTCGCGGTTCGGCTCCGATGCCTCCGCGTCCTGCTCTGCTCCCCTGGGGGGCGGCGCGAGGGCGCGGAGTTCTTCGCGCTTCGCGCTTGGCGCGCGGCGCGCAGCGAGGCGCCCTGGTGAGGTGCCAGCACTTCTGGGCCCAGGGGTTCTAGAGTTGTCAGGAGGGGAAAAACACACAGACACAAGGAATCGTCGATTCCCCAGA